AAAGTGATGCTGCACTTCAAAACTTTGCAAAAAAGGGAATGCTTACAAATTCGGATAGATCTGCCATAACTGAAGCTGTGGCAAATGCAATTCTGAAGTTGAATGATTTGTAAGTATTAGTTGTTTCAGCTCTTTCAAGAAAAAGAAGCAAAATATTGAAATTTTACATTCTTTTTTTTTTGTTTTCTTTAAACAGACCAACAGCTTCAGAATATAATATTGCAGCAATTAAGATATGCGAATTGTTTCCGTGCGAAACAAAGGTAAGTTTTTATAAGTAAACAATTCTATATCAAATTTTTTCATTGACATTTGTTTAAATATATAACAGTTGACTTATGACTGATTTCTTGCAGATTTGAGTTACCAATCATAATTACTGCTAACTACTTAAAGCTCCTGGGTACTTACCGCAGCCATGTTGAATTGTGACGTCAGAAGCGAGAAATGGCGAGAAATGACACGCTGAGAATTCTTACGTGCTATTTTCATATAAAAAAATATTTGGATTAAAAAACACTCCAGTTCGCTTCAACATACTTTTAAAAATGTCCGATTTCTTTTTTCATTTCTCGCTTCTGACGGCACGATTCAACATGGTTACGGTGAGTACTCAGGAGCCTTAATAAAAAAGAAAAAATAAATTGTCTCTTTTAGGAATAGTCAAAATTTTATTTATTATTCTAGAGTGTCAAAATTTTCTGTCTTTTTTATCACATTTATTTAACTTTCTTCTTGATTGTGATCAATGGATTTACAATTGTTAATGGATTTTTTGTCTGAAATTTAGGAATCATATTACTGTCCACCTATTTGCAAACATAGGAACGCATCGGGAAAACTTCCCGATAAAATAAAAAATATTAAGTATCAAGTCAAGAAAGCTACAAATTGTTCAGCAGCATCTTGTTCCAAAGGATCTTCGTTCATTCGTAGTCAAGAGCAAATCACTCATCCTGCAAAGTTAAAAGGTAGTAGTAGGTATAAATCTATTGCTCTTTGTCTTGAATAATTTTATTAAAAATATTGAAGTCTAAATTTTTCATCATTAAATCTTTTTTTATTATCTTTTGATACAATAATAAAATAACTTTGTGAAAACTTTTTTTTCTTGTGTATATTTTGTATTCATAGTAGAGATAAGCAGGGTAACATGTTATTGTTTTGCACCACATTTTTGAACATGCCACATAATATTAATTTTTTGCGCAAATATAATAATTTTATTTTACTATTTTTATATTATTTATTTTGGTCCAAAAAATTTATTTTTCCTGGCTGAGGTAATAATTTTTGCAATAAATTCTTTACAGTAATATGGAGGGTCGGGGAGTGTTAGATATGATGTGTATCAGCATCAAAAATTAAATCTATTATCAATTTAATTATGTAAATTTAATTTACTGTTTTAACAAAAAAACTGTTTCAAGACCGATAATTCAAGTTGGCGCGCAGTATTAGTTGGAAAAGTACTAAAAATTCACACGGAAATTATTTGGCTACTTAGATCCTAGCTTGAACTTTACGGCGTTCTTACATTACATTGATTTTATTTTTCATTTTTGAATATATAATTAAAGATATATAACTTTTTTTAACTGTTCATCTGAAATAAAGTCTCATATATAACGTTTTTTAGGCAGTTGTGATCTAAATAATCCTGCAATTAAAAGTGCAATTGCTTGCTTGAAGCATGACGGCACTGAATCTTGGCCTGAAATCTTACGTAATTGGTCAGTGACACATTTTTTAAGATTTCAATATCTCAGAAAAACAAGACCTTTGGCATCACAAGCAGAAAGAGAATCTTCTTCTCAAGTATCGCAAGATTCTGACGTTTTAGTGAACGATTATTTGAAAAATTGGAATGTGCTTCAATTGCCTAATGCATATCTGCTGGTGAGAATGTAGAATTTGTCTTTTAATGTCTTTGCTATTTAAAGAAAACGTATGCTTGACTTAAATAATTTACAGATTCAGCAAGATTTTAAAGAACTATATCCCGGAAGAGAAGACGGTCTTATGTCAAAATGGGATATAACCAAAAACGCTTTGATTGATCTTCTTAAAGCTGAGATTTCAAAATCAGATCAGTACGGCAGAAAGTTACTTACAGATGTTATTGCTACAGATGCAGGTATTAATGAAGAGACTATATTTGCTGTTCAATTTTTGTAACACTTAAAAATTTTTGTTACTTTATATTAATTACTTAATGTAAATCTTCAGACAAAAATGATGTAATCCTGTTTCACTTGCTACCATCACTTTGCTGCAAGAGAACAAGAGGTGCAAGTGTTGGTGTATCGTCGGTCGCAGAAGCCGTAAAAGCCTTTATACTTCATGTTCCTGTAATTATCGTTTGCAGTAAACATTTCTGTTTTATGAAATAAAATCTATGAACTCATATTTTGAAAAAACATTTTTACAGATTCCGGGAGACTTGAATCGGCAAATTAATACGTATAGAAAGTGGCTGGCAAACAGAGGTCTGAATTTGCAGCCAATGTTGATTTTTGTTGGACCAAATTTGTCGAATATTAATGCTAGTTATGTACAAATAGACACTGTGCGGTATCAGCTTTGTACTCCACTAAAGGCTTTAGATACGTGCTTCAAGGCGTTCCAGGCATTGGACGCTGCATATCCGGAGGAGTGTTGTGCGGTTTGGTTTTTTATCCAAAAATATTTTTATGACTTATATCTAGAAGAGGACGAACAGATTCCTCGAGTGACAAATGTAATTAGTTCTTTAAAAGGATTGGTTTCAAAGATAAATACTAATTAATATCTCTATATGTATTACGTGTATATTTTTATTTTTATTTAAAACTTTACTTTCTTCCTTTACATTCTTCCTTTACTTTTATTGTTTTCCTTACTGTACAAAAATGGATTATGTTTGTAGCAACTGCCATTTGCGTTTGCTTTCCATCAAAGCATTATGCTTTCACTTACGAATAGTTCATTTATATAATGTTTTTAGTACATATAAATGTGCTCAGGATAATTGCAACAGAGAATACAATTCAATAAAAGTTTTTAGAAAACATTTACATGATAAACATCCTACTCCTGTACTTGAAGAAGTACAGGTTCTTAATCAAGAGCATTTGGAAGAAATAAATGAAAATGTAGAGTTAGATTTTAATATAAGAAATGGACTTCAACAAATTGATGATGATCAAGATATACAGATTGACAATATTATACATGAAGTTGCTTTTACTACTCTTGATTTTAAGAAAGCTGTATTTGAATCATCAAGAGCTTTAGTTGCAAAATTATATGCTTCCAATACCTTAAATAGAAGTCATGTACAAGAGATTATTGAACTTGTTTCAGAATTTGTTTGTGGTGATTTTCTTACAATGCTAAAATCCAAAACTTTGTCTATATTGCAAGGTATTAATCAAAGACCGGATGATCTGCAGAATTTGACTGAGATGTTCAATACAATGCAGAATATATTTCAAGGCTTGAACACTGAAACACAAAGAATAAATGCACTTAAAGCAAGCCAGTCTTATGTATGTCCTAAATCTTACAGAATAGGGGTTGCAGAAAAAAATGATAAAAGTTGGAGAAAATGTAATTTTAACACCAGTAGAGTTGACAGGTCAATACATTCCAATGAAGTATGTCTTAAAAAATTTTCTAGAGTTGCCTGGTGTCTTTGATGCTATTTTAGCTAATATAACAAATCTTAATAATACAGACAAGTTTACTAATATAATTCAAAGCCCCCTATGAAAAAATATTAAAGAATCTTATTTCGAAGACCGTCTTGTATTGCCTTTATTCTTATATTTTGATGACGTAGAGCCTGATAATTGCACAGGCTCACATGCAGGTGATCATAGCCTTGGAGTATTGTATTATCAAATTCCTTGCATTCCTCAGCACCTTCTATCTACTCTTGAGAATATTTTTGTATCCTGCATATTTTTATCAGATGACAGACATCTTAACAATGGAGATACCTTCCGTCCTATCATAAATGAACTCAAAGAACTTGAAGCCAATGGCATATTGGTGCATACAACAACTGGAAATAAGCAAATATACTTTTCTTTGTGCTTGCTTCTTGGTGATAATTTAGGATTTCATTCTATTACTGGATTTACTGATTCCTTTAATGCAAATTTTTATTGTCGTTTTTGCAAAGAACATAAACAAGTAATGAAGAGACAAGTTAAGGAAAACCTGTTATCTTTACGTAATACAGAAAATTATGAAGCTGATATTTTCACCAATAATTTATCATTAACAGGTATTAAGGAACGATGTATTTGGAATGAGCTTCAAAGCTATCATGTGATTACTAATCTTGTTGCAGACTTAATGCACGATATTCTGGAAGGTGTTTGTCATTATGATTTATGTGCTATTTTGGAGGAACTGATTTCTGCTAAAAGTTATTTTACTATTCAAAATCTTAATGATCGGATACAAAATTTTGATTATGGTTTTGATATAGGTAATAAGCCTTCTATTATCACATTTGATCACATTCGCAGAGAAAAACTGAAAATGTCTGCATCGGAAATGTTATTTTTTGTACGACATTTTGGTCTAGTTATTGGAGATTTGGTGCCTGAGACAGAAGAAGTATGGCAGCTATACATCCGTCTTATTCACATATTAGATATTATTACCGCTCCATTTGTAGATACAAATTTAACTATTTATCTCGCAACTTTGATTGCTGAACACCATGAATTATATTGCCAACTGTTGTTCAAAACATTAAAACCAAAACATCATTTTATGGTCCATTATCCTAGAATTTTAAATTTAATTGGTCCTCTTATTCTTGTGTGGTCAATGCGAATGGAAGGCAAACATCGGCCAGTAGTAAAGCAAGTAGCTAAGGCTACAAACTCTCGAAAAAATCTACCTTTAACAATTGCTAAGAAATATTCACTCGGTCTCTCAGCTCGCTTTTTATCTAGACAG